CTTGCATAACTTACACATCTCGTCAGGCTGACATGTCACACTTGGATCTGGCCCACAGCCTTGGAATAAAATTCTGTTTATTCTGCTGCTAGAAAGTCTGGTAGGTGGGAGGCTGTTCTGCATGGCTTTGCCATTCAGTCAGTTCATTCTCTTGCATGATAAATCTGGAAATTTAGCATTATCAGATTTTTTTTCATGTATATACTAGGAGCCAAGTTCTGCTGTGGAGTAAATAGTGTTTCACCTGCTGAGACTGGAGCTGAATTTACCCAGTTTTGGTGCGGTGACTTTTAACATGTAGGGGGGGAACACATTTTGATGACCTGTTGATTTACTCTTATAATGGAAATGTGGGATTTCATTGGACTGATACAATGGAGAGGAATACAGTTTGGTAATCCTGCAGGGTTTTAGTGGATACAGGCTACCAACTGCAATAATTTACATGCATGTCATAAAAGCTCATATTTGTGTCTCTTGAAGCAACAGGGATGTTCATGGAGAAATGCATATTCATGTAGTCTGTGCTGACAGATATCTCCGATTCATGCACTGCTCTTATTTACTGGTAGCCCCACAAGCACAAACTGGTCGCTACCAACACATAAAAAGACTAGTTTTTTTTCAGTAGCAGGATGCTTCACTGCTAGCACAAAAAGACTGAATTTCTCTGGGACCCAGTTGGATACAAGCATGCCTACGCTGTCCTTTGCCAAAATTCACACACCTGCTTTGTCACTGGTAGTGTTTGTGTCACTGCTAGCACTGCAGATCCTGAGTTGTTCTTGTCTGCAGCTGGCTTTCCGTTCTGTGACTTCTGGGTCACGTTCATGTGCAAAGGTATATTGAGAACTGAGTCTTAACCACAATTCTTTGATTTCCCCATTGAAAAACAACAAAACCCCAAAGACGACTAGTAAAATCGGGTTTGAAAATGTGCCCTTATACCCCCAGCCAGGGTTTGACTACACCAAGCTAGATGAGAGGACAACCAAAGAGGTCACTGAGGTTTGCCCCATTGAACTTTGCACTGGTAGTACTGACATGTGAGAAAACCCTCCTGCAAGCTGGTACTATCATGAGTTGTTTTTTTTTTTTTTAAACTGCACTCAACAGGAAATGAAGTGCCATTTAAAGTTATCCAATCAACTTTTGCGTCTTTTCTCCTCCACTTCTTGCTTGGTTTATCTGCTGTCTTCCTGTTCAACTACTTGCTTTCATCTGGTTAGCAAGAGCTGAGCTGTTGATGGTTCGAGAGGATTGACTGATGAGGGAAATGGTATCTGTGTAGTATAAATCGTCTCTGTGTGTGTTTCTGTGCAGAAGGCGGATGGATCATGTAACACAAACTTCAAAACTACAAAGACACAGGAGCAAGTTCTACAGGTTTTTGTGGAATTCATTGAGGGCAACACAACTATTCTGGTGAGTCTGAACTCTTCAGGTTCACTGATCTTTGACCCAGTGAACTTGCTTCAGGGCCATGCTTCCTCTGGTACAAGAGAAATTAATTAAACTGCTAAGGAAGAAGAGGATTTCAACTTCCAGTCCCTCTCAGCAGATGGAGTGGACTTGGGGACTTGGTGGGCTGTAAGAAGCAGCTGGCTGAGACCAGTTCTGTAAGCTCTTGCTATGAGTTCACCCCAGGTTCCTCATGCTAGCAAAATGTCAGTCAAGCAAACTTATGGCTTGCCATCAGCTTCGACTAGGGGTGTTGGATGCATCTGAGGGATGATGATGTGTAAGCGAGGATTGCGTTGGCGGGAAAACTGGTGATTTGGGAATTCAGTCTGGAGAGGACAAAACCAGAGCATGGGGGCAGGAAGTGAGATTGGTGGCCGGTTGTGCTCCTGTCTGTGAGACTCACCTCAAAGAGCAATTCCTGTGCGCTACTTCACGGGCAGCACAGTGGGCATGCAGTAGATGGCATAACGTGTCTCGCCTCTTTGGAACTTCAAAGGACGCCACAGTGTTTTGCTGCAGTGTAGAAGCCATTATGAAGGCAGATTAGCCCTCCAGGAGGAGCATGCTTGGTAACACGAGGCCGCGTTAGAAATGTATGCTAGAAGTGTATGCATTAGGCCTTCATTTTTTTTTATCGCCCCGCCCCCCCATGGTTGGAGCTCCTTGTCTCTCTTGCACAATTTCATTATCTTTTCACTGTGGAGAACTGAAAGACTTTTAATTGCCTGAAACTTTTTTCTCTTTGCTAAAAAGGAAAAAAAAAAAAAAGACACAGATAGTCTGACTGCATCCAAAACAAGACAGATAAGTACGCTTGGTGTTACACGTGCAGCAGAGGAACTCCAGTCTGTTCACTCACTATGAAAGCCTGTGGAAGTGTATTTTCAGATTGACTTTGAAGTGATGAACCTGTTTTGAAGGATCTCTAGCCTAAAATTAACATGATCTCTTTGTTATATTGACTCTTGTAAACAGAGTATCTTCATTCATTCTTTACTTAAATGTTTATTGGTTGGGTTTTTTCTCTTCCTCCAGAAAAAATACCTCAAGCGTCTGCAGGAAATTCATATCATTCTTGAATCCTCAGACTTCTTCAAACGACATGAGGTGAGCAGGGAGCATAAAGCTGTGGAGGTGCATTGCTGCTTTGTTTGGTCATTCGGATGTACTTCAGAATAGCCTGCTGTATTAGTAGAAAGGAGTTTGTTAACAACACAGATACCACAAAGCCTCCATCACAACAATACAGAAGATGAAACCAGTTGAGGAATAATAAATCCTCCCATCTTTATGACATCCCAGCACTTACAGCTCTGGGCCACTACGGGGAATAGCTTATTTGTTTCAGTTTCCTGTGGTTTCTCTAATCTTGGTGTGTTCCAGTGGGAATCTTTATGGGGGAATAGTAGTGTGGAAGCTTGCGTTTGGTACAGTAGCATTCAGCTAGAGTTGACAGTGGAGGCTTTATTAAGTTATACTGGATTTACCTTGAAACACTGTATAATTCTGCTCTATATGTTCTCGTTGTATGCTTTGCTGTGGAGAAGGCGTCATTAGCATTGTAAGTTCTGCTTGTTACAGCTCAAGATTCTGAGATCAGGCATTTTATTTTACCTTGTTGATTTACTCTTGGCACTAGAGGCATTTTTGTTAATGAGTTATGGTCTGTCTTTGAAAGTAGTCGCTGGCTTTTGCTGAATTGCTCAGATTAAGAACTTCTGCCAAGTGACGTGGAGAATTGCTTTTCTTCCCGTTGTTTACTGGATTCCTTTTCCCATCCACATGCCCAATGGGGCATGTAAATTGTCAATGTATAAGTGCAGCCCAAAAGTCTGTTCGGTCACGGGTGAGGAGGTCATCGTCTTAGTGGGAAGTGCAAAGTGATGGGGCAGAGCTAGAGATGTACTTTCAACCACACCATCTCAACCTGTCTTCCAGGTCGTCGGAAGTTCACTACTTTTTGTGCATGATGGCAGTGGGAATGCCAATGTGTGGCTGATCGACTTTGGAAAGACCACCCTTCTCCCTGATGGGCAGACACTGGATCACAGGATCCCCTGGCAAGAAGGCAACAGGGAGGATGGGTACTTGTTGGGGTTGGACAACTTGATTGGCATCTTGGAAAGCATCACTGAAAGATGAGTTGAGAATGGCACAAAACTTGCAGGGCTTCTCTGTAACTTTCTGCTCTACTGGGATCACTGAGTTAGAAGGAAACCTTTAACTCCCTCCAACCTCCTGCAGTCATCCGTGCAGAGGGAGCTGCATCCGGAACCCAGCAGTTAGTGAACAAAACGACTTTGCGTCGCCCCTCTGTGAACCTAAATAACTCCAGATTGGTCTGTATTGCACCAGCCTAACTTCAGACTGGTCCTCAAGAGAATGAAGACCTCCTTACTCAGGAATCACACCAGCACGAGTCAAGAGGTCTGTGTGGTAACCTAGAACAATTCTGATTTGTGGCAAACAGATGGGACTCCAGATTACCTCTTGGTCGACCAGAGCAAGTGCTTGGGGATTCGGGGTAGGAATAACAGTTTTTCAGGGAAGTGTGTAGTTTTGAAACCAGCAAGAGTGGGTTTCCCTCCCCCCCCAAGTCTCCTTGCTCCTGTGTACACTATAGGTTGGACCAACAGCTTCCGCTACACACCGTGTTACAGTGCACACAAGGTGGAAATGGGTGATAATCACAAGAAACCTGGAGCAAAGGGAGACAGCAGTTTGTAGTGGCTGGGTGTGGTAACTGCTGTTGACCATTCCTCCTCTTCCCTACCCTAGCCTTGATTCACTTCTATCCAAGAACAGCCTTTGCTTTTCACGTAGCCTCTCAGGAGATTAGAAATACTCTAGGAGGAGAATAGCAGCCTATTGTCTCCAAAAACATTGGACTTTCAGACTGGGTGGGCTGTTGGAAAAGTGCCTAGCTTTGGCAAGTTTGGCCTCTTGCAGCTGAACTGCAGTTCTGAAAATCAGTAATGACTCTTTTGCAGACAGACTAAGGAACTAAGGGGTTGTTTTTTTTCCAAGGCTTGTTTATTTTTAAATATAAAGCCTCTATACACGTGCACACACGCACGCACTAGTAGCCGGCAACCAATGTGATCTCTTAAGGTCATGGTTTGACTGTCTCCTAATGCACGTGACTTCTTGGCCATGTTCCTGTTCCCAAATACGATGCTGTCACTTAAGCGTATAGACTGGCGCAGCGATCAGGAAGGTAATGTTTCTGCATTCACAGCGTTACACTAATGATGAGAGAATTCCCAGGCATCCTCCCTCCAAGGTATCAGCTGTTAACTCAGGGCAGTTTGGGGGAAGGAATGTCAGAATATCACATCCCCTAGTCCCTGTCTGGAATTGCGGGGCCATCTGTGATTCATTCTTCTTTTACTGTGGCCCAGGGACAGCCACAGAAAATTCACAGTGTTTAGGTTAAAATCAAGAAAGACTGAAGTGATTTCTTGTAATGGCTTCACATACCTTCTCTGGTGGTTGCCTCTAGTGACTTGAACAGTTCTTCAAATACTAGCAGTATAAATACTATCAGTATTCATGTGTTCACTCACATTGCAGGTTTTAACATTAATAACATGACGATGCAGTTTTCAAAGTGAGGACAAGACTTACGTTACTATTTGATTGTTAATCCCCTTCCAACATCTAAAGCTACTAGAGCACATTGATTGGAAATTGCTGCCTTTTGCTGGTGTCCTGTGCTCAGGAAAGATTCTGAGAACTTTAGGATATGTGAAGGTGACTCCGTGCTTTGGGAAACTGGTATTTCAGTAGTAATTGTGATGGTGAGCAAAAAAAACCCCAACTGTACAGCCCAGATCTGGAATGAAATCTCTCTATATAACATTTGTAATTAGAATTGAAGAACCTAAAATAATTTCTAAAAGGCGTTTCTTTAGATAACACAGTAGTGTACAAAGAGATCAGTCAGATTTAATAACTTTTTCATCACTTCTAAACAAAAGAGCAGTATTAAAAATTCAAGCTCAGTTGTGACCTAAAAGTTATATGACATAGTGTGGGTACTCAGTAGGAAGTAATGACATGTGGAAACATTTCATCCTAAAACAGAAGTTGTTCGAAACTCGTAATTATTTTTGCAGTTCACTGCAAATTCAGACTTCTGTGGCCTCCCAGAGTCCCTCTCGGTTTTATTTTCATGATAGAATGTTAACGAATTTTCCACTTACGATGTTTCACAGGGTTTACACTTTTTTTTTTTTAAGTGACAGCAAGCCTTCAGTAGAGAGCACAGATACTATCATTTCAGATGCCTCCTAACTTTTGAACTGCTATGAGATGATGAATTAATCTGTTGTGAACTTAATTTAATTTGAAAAAAAAAAAAATAGTCTTCCTCCTTTTCTGCAGCCAACAGGTAAGCCATGGGTGAGCAGTGCTTAAGGAGAATAGGAAGTAAATGGGTCTCACAGGGAGCGCTTTAGTAACAGTACCTTTTCTATGAGACTGCAATTGCAAGCAGTCCTACCATACTAAAAAAAAAAATAAATTAGAAAAGTTAGAAATGAGACTCTTAAAGTGATAGAATTCATTAGTGGTTTGCCTAATTAATCTTCAGAGTTAAATTTCTTTCTTCAGTTACCACATCATAGGTGAATCTTTTGCACCAGTGTAACTTTCTAGCGGGGGGATTTAGAGGGTAGAAGTTGATGTTCAAATGCCAGTTGAGAATTTGAGACAAACTTTTAGAACGGCTGTCCGGTTCTAAAGGAGAACAAGAGGCAATGTGGTACCGGTGGCTTCAAAAAAAACCAACTGCTGCTAGCACCTGGATGGTTTGCAGTACGTGGTCTTGGGGGAACACATGGAGAATGATCCGTTCCTCTGCAGTAGTTGAAAAGATCAGGGGAAAAAAGAAAAGCTCTGCTATAGCAGACCCTGATCTGGAAACTCGTTCTAGATGATAAATAGTTGTAGCAAGTTAGTTTTGAAATGGCCCTTTAGCTGTTAGAAGGGATTAGAAGGGAAGAAGCCACAATCTCCTGCTGCTGTTAGGGGAAAGGAGAGAAGGAGGCAGCTCTTCATTAGCAACCTGCAAGTGTAGGACTGCAGCTGAGCACTGGAGCTCTAAGGGGCTGGAGGCTGTGAGCTCATGAGCAAACTACCGCAGGGTAAGTTTAGATACCTTGAGTCACATCAGATGGCCCAGCGTGCCTCTCTGTGTACACTCACTTGCTAGTGTGAGGAAGCAGCATAGCCTTCTTTCACTATGGTGTAAAAGTTGCCTTGAATAAGCTTATATTTACCAGAGGGTCAACATGACAATGCCTTTGCACAGGCATGTGACATAGAAGTGCTGCTGCACGATAACCAAGGTACTTGTTCACATACAAGTCCAGAACATAGTGCTTCAATGCCTCCACTGAGATATTGCCTCACTCCAGAGACACCAAGAGCACCTGTTTCCACAGCAGGCTAAGGTGTGCTGGCCCAGAGGCACTTTGCTGCTGAACAGCCAACCTCTGACTTGGGCACCAAGGTCTTTAGTTTGATGCAGCAGTGCTTACTACTGTAGCTGCAGCATTCCTCTGTGAATCCGGCAGTAGGACTTCTCTCCCTCAGCTTTGTCAGTGACTGGGATTTTTTGGCCTTGGACAACTATCCTAGGCCTCAAGGTTGTTCCTGTTTTACAGATGGGAATAGTATCTACTTACCTCACAGGAACGGTGTGAGGCTGTCCTTCATTATTGCTTGCAAGATGCTGTGAGATTCTTTGGAGGAAGGTGCAATATAGAAAGAAATGCACAAAGAGCTACATCAGCTAAGTTTAAAAATGATGGGTGTTGGGGCCCCACAAGGATATAAATTTGGATGAACTTTAACCAAAGTCGTAAAAATTAAATCCCTCTCTTAATTTTACAGAAGGGGGGAATTCACTTAACATCTGATCCAGTTCCTGTTATAGGGCAAGATTACA